CAGAAAACAGAGAAAATATGTCTCTTCTCCAGATAAGTCTACCCAGACTAGAAGATATACAGATCTGTCTAATTATCTGATACCCTGCAAATTTAGAACCCTTTGGCATATTCAAAGTATTTGGCTGACATGAGTGTGTGCATATGTATAGGAGTGTGTGTGTGTACACATATGTAGGTAGATATATCGAAGTTTCTTTGCTATATATGTTTCTATATATATATATATATATATATATATATATATATTTTGTTTTTTGACAGGGTCTTGTTCTGTCTCCCAAGCTAGAGTACAGTGGCATAATCATAGCTAACTACAACCTCAAACTCCTGGGCTCAAGTGATCCTCCTGTCTCAGCCTCCCAAGTAGCTGGGACCACAATCATATACCATCATGCCTGGCTAATTTTTCTATTTCTTACAGAGATGGGGTCTTGCTCTTGCTCAGGCTGGTTTCCAACTCCTGGCTTCAAGCAATCATCCTATCTTGGCCTCCCAGAGTGCTAGGATTATAGATATGAGCTGCTACACCTGGCCTAGTTATAGTTCTTATAGTTACCTACTTCCTAGGAGAAGAGTCTTCTTACTGGCCTTCTCTCCTGCCTAAGTAAGCAACAGCAGTAAATAAATCATGTCTTTCATTGTAATGAGCAAATTTTGTGGCTTTAGTAGGAAGGAAGGTCTGTGTTTTGGTGTATGACCAGTATGGCGAGACTGGCCAGCAAGATCCGAAATAGATTTAGCCAGAATGGTGTCTTGCAGAGCAAAGGTTCTTCCATTTTTCTGCACATCAGAATCACAAGTAAAGTTATTCTGAAACCTGATCTTCAGAGCCCTACAGAGGAGTGCTGAGAGGGTGGTGAGAAGGGGAATGGTAGGTCTCCTAGCCCTCTACTACCTCCACCAGATCTACTCTCCTTTGATCTGCTGAGATTCCTCCTAAGAAGGAAGGACTACAGAGAGGGTACTATGGCACTATTTGATTCCTTTCTGTCTTCTGCACAAGGCTGCAAATGTCTGTTCAGGGCTGTATACTTAGTGCCTAGCGCAGTGCTTAGGAATTTGCTTGTATTCAGTGAATATTTTTGAATAAATGAATAAAATACATGTGAAATCTACCTGTCAAGGGAAAAATATTGCCAATTCTCTAGAGAGGTTAAACTAACATAGTATTTATATAGTTATGTGGTTATTTAAAGTTAATTGTTTACATTTTGCTTACTGTTTATATTTACTGGGATTTAAATATTTCAAACAATGCCCTTGTTCCCAAAGTCAAAATAAAATAATCTCATCCAATCAGAGTTGAAATAGTAGGGAAATATTTGAACACCAGTGTACTTTACAAACTTCTTATCACTAACCAATTCCTAAACTACCTGTTTACACAAGTAAGTATAGGTTTTATATAGGTATATGTGGGGACTTTCTAGATTAGGCCTCCCTGTACTCCCATAATTTGGAGGAAGTACTAAGGGAAAGTTTCAGTAACTCATAGACATTTTTGGTTTGAGCAAATCTATAGTCTTTCCACTATGATTTCCAGAACAGTGTCCTCGGATGTGATCAGACTCAGTGATGTCTAAGGCTATACAGGCAGCTTCATTTCTAGCCATGTGTATTGGCTACAGATCTTTCTTGTAAGCTACATTTGAAAAAGAAGTGATATGTCTATTCACATTAATAGCAAATAAAATGACTGCTATTCTACCTAAAGTGAAACACAATGCAAGTAGCATCCTAGCTTCAATCAGATAAATGCCTTCTTCTCAATTTTGTTCTCATGCTTCTAAGAAAGCCGGAAAAGTACTATGGTAATAGCAGCTCAAAGCAGAGTCTATTACAATATACCAGTTACTCATTTTAGTTTACAATTGCTTATAAAGCACAAAAGTTGTATGGTTCTTGGCTTGGATCCATAAGGCAGAAAATTTACTGTACTATGCTTCTAATTGTCTACTATTCCTTTTAAAGGGAAACTCATTCTAGATAAATTGTTTAGTTGAAATGCTAGAATGTTTTAAACAGAAAAATGTTTCCTTTCCCGGAACTGTCAGAACATTTTTTCTGATTAAAACATGGTAGAATTCTAGCTAAAAGAATATTCAGAGAGCAAAAGGTTACATTTCAGTTTACTAACCACTTAGAAAGACAAATTACCAAAACAAATGCTTTAAAATTATTTTTTTAATGTACAGTATCTTAGCAATTAATTAACTATGCTTATCACTGTCAAATCTCTGTAATTATACAGTAATCATTCATTTAACCAATCTTAATTGAGTATACACCAAATATGATATCTAAGTGAACAAATTTACATACTAATCCTTCTATCCTTTCCCATTCTGAAGATTGCACTTCAGAGAGCCTCAAAAATATGAAACACAATTACAAATCAGGGAATAGGTGGAAAAGACTCAGGCAAGCTTCTGAGCAGCAAAGAAAGTATAGGTATCTTCATGTTATTATCCAAATAAATCTGAACCAAATGGAATAGCAAAAGCATTGGTGACATGTGAAGGCAGATCATGCATTGTCTGTCAGGTACTGAATTAAGCACATTATAAACATCTCACTTGAGCCTTTCACAATTCTAAAGAGGTAAGTAGTATTATTCCCATTTTACAGATTGAAAAATTAAAGCTGAAAGAGGCTAAGTGTATTCCCAGGACAAAACACCTAGGAAGTGGTCCACATTCATCTGACTGCAAATCCAAACGATGTTCTAACCACTAACCACACACTTCCTTGTCTATTTAGTCTGTGCCTGCAGGTTCTGTGCTGGGTAATATGAGACAAGTTATATTTACATCTGTTCTAGTTTACCCTTGTCCCAAAGTTTAAGCCAAATTTCCCAATACCTACTCTAAGATTCTCCATATTTGGTTTCCTACTTTGTCTTTCAGTGTCCCTGTCACTAAATCTTGCCCTACCCAAGCTCTCAGTCTTTACAGGTGGCTCTGTGCAGGTGCTTGTGCAAGGCTTATCTCTCTGCCAGGGAACTCAAAGCTGTGGATGACTAGATTCCAGCCCACACTGCCATACCTCTGGAATGCCAGCAGCCAGCCTTCTTGTCTCCTGTAAATCACTGGTCTCACCCCTGTCCCGAATCTTTTCTTCTAGCCTGGATAATTCCTGGTCATCCTTCAAGGTTTTTGTTAGAATGTCCTTTGTTCAGGGATGCCATCTTTGACTGTCAAATCTAAATGGGGAACCCTTATTATACTCTCAGACCATTCTGTACTTTCTTTCACTGCAGTGATCACAATTTGTAATTAAGCATGCATTTATGTGCTTATTTGTTTGACGCCTCTTTCCCATGCCAGACTATAAGCTCTATAAAAGCAGGAAATGTGCCTGTTTTGTTCACTGCTCAGCAAACACCTAGTAAATGCTCAGTGCACATAAATGAAACTAACAACGTATGCAGAGCCCTTAGCACCAAGTAGGTGCTCAATGCACATTAGCAATATTATTATTTCATGAATGAATGGACTACTTAGGTCCTTGAATCTTTACCCTCATTCCACGTTCCATTTTGTCTCAGGAACTGATGTTTTGGTTTGGATAAATTTCTTTCCTAACTGTTCTTAAAAAAATTGACCCTGAATTTGTTGCTCCATTTGTCCCTCAGGATAACCTAACTCCAAAGTGCCACCTTATTACATGGTCAGTCTCACTGTCTCAACAAAATGGATAATGACAACAGGTTTCAATTATATAAATATTTTATTTTTATATATTACCTAATTTTTAATGATGTCACATAAATATGTCCTTGCTTACTAAGATCCTTAGAGTAATTCAAATAGCTTGCTAACTTCATTCAACCAGAAAAGAGCTCTCAAATCAACTTATATTAAGAACTTTGCTATTAACATAAAAATCTTTTTAATGAGTTCACTGGTAGAGATGTAGAATGCTGAGATGCACAAAAGAATAAATGATTTATTAGTCAATTTAATTCAATTTTGTCACCAAGTCCTATCAATTTCTAATTTGCAATAATTTTTGAATCCATCAGATCCTCTCCTTTTTTTTCTTTTGAGACAGTCTCACTCTGTTGCCCTGACTAGAGTGTCATAGCATCAGCCTAACTCACAGCAATCTCAAACTCCTGGGCTCAAGCAATCCTTTTGCCTCAGCCTCCTGAGTAGCTGGGACTACCGGCATACGCTACCATGCCCGGCTAATTTTTTTTCTATATATTTTTAGTTGGTCAATTAATTCTTTCTATTTTTAGTAGAGACGGGGGTCTTGCTCTTGCTCAGGCTGATTTCGAACTCTTGACCTTGAGTGATCCACCCACCTCGGCCTCCCAGAGTGGTGTTAGGATTACAGGCGTGAGCCACCGTGCCCGGTCAGATCCTCTCCTTTTTAAACACTATCTGGGCCTTTACCAGCTTGGATTGTTGTAATTTTTCCTAGATGATATTTAGCTTCTGGTCCTAGTCTTTTACAACTGAGCTTGTATAATACATTGCAGCAAAGTTAGTTTTCTTAAAACTCAGCATTTTAACCTTAGATTCCTGCTCAAAAATTCATAATAGTTTTCCAATTCCCACCAGATCAAATTCAAACTCACCTTAGAAGCAAGGGCCTTCCTACCATATTCTATATTTTTTAGTAACCTTTCGTTTCCAAAGAACTTTGATTTCTGAGTTTTCTTTGCTCTTGTGACTCTCTGCTTAGATTGTCCTTCTCCTTCTATGCTGCTTGTCCAAGTTCTACCCATTACTTGAAAATCTCTGGTTTTGAAAATCAGGTTCAAATCAGGTCTGGTTTTGAAAATCTTGAAAATCAGGTTCTGCTGACTCTGTCAGTAAGTGTTCTTTCTCTTGAACCTACATTTTATTCTTTCGTAGAAATGGAAGTTTCACATATAATTTATTATCTGCCTAAGGAGGTTGTAGTTTCCTTCAGAGAGGTTGTTATCTAAATGTTCTTTTGTATTCCTAAAGTTTACATATAATTAATATTCATCTTTTTCTTTGATAGTGCCTAGTACTTTAGAAAGGAACTCTCATGAAACACCTGTGAAGAAAAACACCTAACCATTTCCCAAGTCAGTACTGGATGGCAACCTAAGATAAGGTAGGCACCTGATTACCAGTAGGTGATACTACTTCCTTCAATCAGTACTGCTCAGTGTGAGAATGGAAACTGCAAAGGAGAAGCAGCGTGATCAGGGAGGTAAGCTTTAAGCCGGAAGGACTCAGACCAGCAAGCACAAGAGCTCAACCAGCTACAGACTCTGCTTTCTAAGAAAGCCCAGGGGTGAAGTCAAGTATGGGAGAAGATGGCAGCTAGAAAAGGCAACAGATCTCCTCCAGCAGGCTGTCAGAGGACAGCAACCATTTCTGTCCCAACATTGAGAAGCATGGGTAGCTGCAAAGGAGACCTGGGGATGGGAAAGAGGAGAGACGGGAGAGTGGTGGTGTCACCTCTGAGGACCATTTTGATTCTCAGACCTATCATCTCCAGTAATTTCCAGTACATCTTTAGAACCCTGCCTTTAGCCATTCCAGCAGTTATTTGCATCTGGGTTAACACCTTTAACTGATCAATGGAATTATTGAAAACCTTCTTAGAAAATTCTCAATATCATTTCTACTACCTGAATATAAAAATTAATAAAGTCATTAAATAAAATATTAGAAAATTGTCCATAGAAGTTCTATAATTGGGCCTCTGAATAAATGACTGAAAAGTTGTCAGTATATTTTCCTCTGACATCTTGATTAAAAATGAAAATGCTTATCTATTAGACAACCAATAGAGTAGATCATAGACAAAAGCTTTGGAATAACAAAGCTGGCCCAAAAGGTCCTCCTCCCTTTCTCCAACCACAAACTACCTTAAAGAAAGGGTCTGAGACCGGGTGCGGTGGCTCAAGCCTGTAATCCTAGCTCTCTGGGAGGCCGAGGCGGGCGGATTGCTCAAGGTCAGGAGTTCAAAACCAGCCAGAGCAAGAGCGAGACCCCGTCTCTACTATAAATAGAAAGAAACTAATTGGCCAACTGATATATATATAAAAAATTAGCCGGGCATGGTGGCGCATGCCTGTAGTCCCAGCTACTTGGGAGGCAGAAGGATCGCTGGAGCCCAGGAGTTTGAGGTTGCTGTGAGCTAGGCTGACGCCACGGCAGTCACACTAGCCTGGGCAACAAAGCGATACATACCTATATGTTAAAAGGTTAAGAAAGCGTAAGCCAAATATGTTCATTGTTAATCATAAAATTTCATCCCTGAGCAAATTAGGGGAAGAATTTTATGGGTTGACTAAGGTGATGAAGAGAGAAAGGTACAGCCATTAAAATCTTAAAGTGTATGACTTCTCACTCTGAACAAGAGCTTGGTTCTTTTTCAAGCCTACTGAAATTTACTTTTTGGATGCACTTGGTAGGATATGAAAAAGTCAGGAGACTCTTCCACCTCATAGTTGCTACTTTGAGGTCTAGGTCCTGGTTCCTCATCATCCTTGCCTTGGCAATAGTGGCATCACCAATGACTTACAAAAACAGCATCTCTGCTGACAGTACAGGCACTGTCTGAAGTTATATGAAGGTCACAGACAAGCAGAAGTTATATGAAGGTCACAGACAAGCAAACAGGTAGACAGACAAAAGAACATCTTTCTGAAACTAGCCATATCTGGCATGTAGGTCTCAATTGATTATGCTCAGCTGCTGCATGGCTATTGTCTCCCATTTCAGGGTACTTATCTTATACAGAGGAAAACAATGAAAGGACACTATGAAATATGATCGGAAAGATCTTCTTAAATGGCCAATAAATAGTGTGTATGGCTAGAATTTAAGGAAGAGCAACTGCTTTGTAATTCTTGAAGATTCCCAGAAAATCAAGGCTTCCCAGAATTCTGGGCTGATTTACATAAACAAATCAAGGAAATGTTTTACTCATGGGTTCTTCATTATTTCTTTGACAAATGCTAGAAAAATTGGCAAACTGAAGCATCTGCCTGATTTACAGTTGCTCTTTCTCTGGGGCTCCTGCAGTCAGGATATAATAGTATCTCCAGGAAACTGCAAATATTCACTTTATTTCAATTAGTTTTCTCCACACAGTCCACTGCCTCTTCAGCCAGCTCCGAAAACATGACTTTTCGCCTTGCTTAAGCTGCTTGACTTGTGAGATAAGCACTGGACTCCTACCTAGTCATTCCCTAGCAAGATTGGATCCTTTGTGTCTTATCAGTTTACCTGCTGGTATTTATTTAACACCATTTGGAATGAGCTCTCACTTTTTTTTTGGCTGTTTGAATTTTGACTTGATATTAATTTATCTTTATCTTCTGATTAACACAATTCTTCCTTTGTGACCTAGAGTCAAATTTTTCTTTGAACAGGCTTGTCTAAATACAAACCTAGGAATTAGATAGTACCTACTTTCAGAATAAGACTTTTAAGCTGGCACAGTCCCCATTAGGCTTTTGAACTTTTAACAAGAGAAAGCACTGACATCTTTCTGTCAACATTTTCCTGAACCACAAATTGCTCCTGCATTAGAAATTCTCTAGAAATGACATAGAAAGGCTATGAAGCAAATGTATTCTGGTAGTGCAGGTCTGCAAGTCAGGGTAATTTCAGAATATACTGCATAAGCTGAAAAGATGGCAGATGTAAGAATTGGATTTAACCATAGATGATAACCCAATTTTCTCCATAGCACTGTAACTCAATAAGTCTTTAATGGCTTCTTAGATAAACAGATGGATGTCATCAAAAGGCACAGGATGATGAATCTGATTGGTGTCTGAATAATTTGCACTGCTTTATCCCCAAAACAAGTAGCAGCAGAAAAATGGAGGGCACACACTTAAGCCCCAGCATGGGAGTTTAAATTATTTGATTAGAAACAGTTGTATTTTCCCAGGGGCGTAATATTGAAAACAACTAGATGGCAAAGTCCAGGAAGTGCAATATATCTTTTTAATTAGGGTTCTTCTTTTGAAGATTTATACTGTTTAGTTATGTTTATTCTTATTTAGTTGACTCAGTTTATTTTCATACAGATTTCCAAATATTCAATTAAAGCCCTTTGGAAGATTATGACTTTCAATTATCCAGGATGAGCCAGAGTTTATAGAACCTCAAGTCCATGGCACAATTTCTGCTGGTCAAGCAGTTCCTGATTCTTTGAACAATTCCTTTACTTGGATGCTATTCATTTAGCTTACTTGTTCATCAGAATCGTATGGTGGAATTAGACTTCAAATGATTCATTGTCAAAAGTACAATATATGTATAAAGAATCTGACTAAGCCTTTCCAGAGCTAGTATTGTCAAATTCTAGACACACACTGATAACCTCAATGTATCAGTGGGATCTGTCCAGATGGATCTAGGAGAAAGACTAAGGCTAAAAAAAAGTTCTAAAAAGAAGTATGCCTTCTGTTGTTATTGCCATTGTTATAGCTGGGTTGCGAGATTATGGGAAAATTCTATGGTTTTTAAGTGTTAATTTAGGAAATTCCTTACCTTAAACAGAATACAGGGCTAGACTTTTCTTTATCATCTGACGATAATGTGTATCACTTTTCTTAGTGTGGAGTACCAGATGGGTGGTAATACTAATGGTCCTTGTCTCCAGTGTAAGATACTGTTTTCAAATATTTCTGAGATATTCAAAATTTACTAAGTATAGTTACTAAGTACAGCTGCCATAAAAAAAAAAAAAACAAAAAAAACAAAAAAACTTCTCAAGGACAGAAGCAAAATATCCTCAGGAACCTAGTTGAAGAAAAGTTTTCCTTCTATTCCCAAAGCTCGAACAATCACTTTAAAATATTTTTATTACCTAATGTTAGTTCTTCTTCTGAAGTTAATTCTTAGCAACTTGAAATAATAACAAAGATTTGTATACAGCACTTCCTCTGGGCCTGATATTGTTCCTAGTACTTTGCATATTTTGCCTCATTTACTCTTCATTATAAATGAGAAAACTAAGGCACAGATAGATTAAGTAACTTGCCTAAGTTCACACAGCTATTAAATGGTAGAGTTAGGAATTAAACCTCAGACAGTCTGGCTCCAGAGTTTATGCTCTTAACCATTTCGGTATTTTACTGCCTTTCATAAAAGCTTGATTGATGTATAAAGATATCCATGATGTTATCAGAAATCAAGTTGGGATGGAACGGTTAGGTCACACAGAACATGGGGGCAATAATCTCAGCTTACTGGTTTCTTAGTTATACAGACTTGGGAGCACAAGGGACAGTCCTTCAGGAATAGTTTGGTCCTGGATCACCAGTTCTTACCTCAAATGCTTTTAGGATGCAGATATGTGTTAAATAATTAATAAACTGCATATTCCAAAAACACTGGTAAACTTTGCTACCAGGTCCTTCATATGCTAAAGAGTGTCCTTGTCATAATTTCAGATGACTTCAACTCTACTAGGCTTCTGGTGTGCTGAATGCAGGAACTAGTAGCTATTCAATTGTGATCAACCCTCTAATTGCAGAAACTGTTTCCCAATATCCCACTGGCATTTTTGTTAAAGAGGGGATGTGGTCATAATTTACTATAGCTGTTTTCATGACATTCAAATGTCTCAGTTGGCTGAATAAATTGGTAAAATTTTCCTAAAGAGCAATTTAGCAATATGTATTGAAAAAAAATAACAATGGTTCATACCTGCCAGTTTCAGAACTTGTAATATATCCTAAGGAAATAATCAGAGATGTGGACAAAAATTTTACATGGCAATCTTTATCATAGCATTATTTATATCAAAAAAAGGTCTAGGAACAATATAAATAGCCAAGAAGAGAAGAATAATTAAGAAGTTTATGATACAGTCATAAAATGCAATATTATGCAGTCATTAAAATTTGTTTCTGAAGAATTTTTAATGACATGGAGAAATACTCATTATATAACATTCAGTGAAAAAGCAGAATACAGAACTTCATTAAAAAATGATGCTACTTATATAAAAAGAAATCTAAATATGTCTAAAGTCCCGAAATAAAATATGCTTTTTGTTGGTTGTCTCTGGGTTATAAGATTTTTGTTTCTCTTTTCCAAATTTTTGGAAATGAAGACATTAATTTTATAATCAGAAAA